TGCAGTGTTTTGGAAATGCTTGTGCAGTGGGTAGACCTTCTTCGATGAGGGATTCCTACGGAGTCTTCATTAGGAGCGACTTGTTTCTCCGACCTTTTTCCGCGGAAATGAGGAGTGAGATCACCGGAAGCAGGGGGGGTAGAAGAAAAAAAGGGGGGCAAGGTATATGTGCTAGTGATCTCGGAACCATTTCTGCAGCGCAAACCTATCGCACTTTTGCCTGCTTGGGGCTGTGCCCCGGCCCTCCCAGCGGGGGGGGGTATAGCAGTGAGAAGAAGAAGAAGAAGGGTTTCGGAGTTACATAGGGTTAAAGATATTACAAAAGACAGCGGAGAGTGAACATCTAGAAAAAGATGGTGTTACGGCCGTTTGGGCTGGCAGATGGATGTCTTTCAGGGTGTTGAGTGAGGGTGGAACTCGCTTGTTCGTGTGTCCTGCCATGTGAGCAAAACATTACCTGTCTTTGCGCGGCACTGCGCAGAGATTGGGCGGGCAGCTTCGTTAAAGTAGCCCTGAACTCTGAGCCGTAAGCAATATGGTAGTTTCCATTTTTTTTCCATTCCCTACCTTAAACCCTAACGCCTTCTTAAATACGTAGTCGTATGGTAGTTGATAACTCAGGGACCCTGAAGCGAGGTATTATATTTTGTACTCTTCATGACCCCATTATTAGCCCATTCTTAGCCCCGGCGTCCCACAAAGCAGGCCCCGAACTACCCTGAGCTCTAAACCTTGAGTAACATAGTAGTTTCCATTTTAGTCTCCATTCGCGATTTTGTATCCCTTTACCTTAAACCCTAAACTCTACTTAGCCCCATTATAGTAGTTTTCATTTTCTTTGCCATGCCACTTACCAAGCTTAAACCCTGTGAAGAAGCCCAGAGCTCAGGTGGAAGATCCGGTGGAGCCAGGCGTGGACTTGGCAGGGTAGCTGCCCCGAGCTGGCTGCCAGGGCAGTCGCGGGTTCAAGGTTCAGGGCTTGGGGTTTAGGGATGAGGGTTTAGGATGCCCCCCCCCCCCCTCCCCCTATGAAAGCCTCAGAGTATTTTGCAGTGATATGGCACTCGTAAGCTGAGTCCTATATGTGACCATTGGAGGCTTTGGGAATTCTAGGGTGTTGCACGCATGTTGCTGGGGTTTTGATGCGATATTTGTTGTTTTCGGATGCATGTGCTTTTTTGTAGTTGGATGGTGTTGAAGGGGGTGTTGCCAGCTTGATTTGGCGTGCCGGGCATACATACCGCATCAAATCATTCACGTCGCAACATGAAGCAAGTCGCTTTGGTGAGGGCTGTGTTCAGAGAAAATTGGGGTCATGAGCTCTCTCGTGGCGTTTGAAAGAAGCAGCGGTGTTTTTCTGCGTTGTCCCTCGCCCTCCGCGGCCATTCGTTAGCTTCTCCAGGCCCCCCCATGTAAACCTCGAGAAGTGATTCAGAATAGGTCATGCCCGGATGCTGGAAAATTCTGGGCAGCAGCGTGCCCGGTAGCGTAATGGTCCTGCCAGGCGCAAGAATAATAGTAATAATAATATACAATAATGATACTAGTAATAGATAATAGTAAGAGTATAGCCAAGTTCTCCAACTCTGCAACCCTGGAGTGGCCATGGGAATATTTCGCTCGGAGCGCATGCAGCATGGAACGCTGGTGCTGCCGGTTGCCAGAGCTCGTGATCTGATTGACCTGATTCTCGTTTCGATGGTCAGTTACGATTCACCTTATGTTCTGTACTGTCCTTAAGAATTATTCTAAACTTTCATTATAGTAGAACCCTAAGGTAGTAGAACCCTACGGAAATATTAAAGATAACACTTTTATTATAGGCCTAAGGAGAGTAGAGCGTTGCTTGGCAAGGTTTTGACTGCATCCGGAACTTGTGATGTCACCTGTCAGGATTGGATCGCGCTGCAAAATCCAGATCGAGGATAGGATAGGGTCCACATGAGCCATGTGCTTCTTGCTTTTGGCACGGTCAGCGTCCGTTAGATTTTTCTGACCCTGGTTCTGTGAGGACATGAACACCAAGAGTTTGCACAGGCCATACAAGAGCCACATCCAAAGAATCGACGAGATGGAGTCTTCGGCTTTCCACAGTACATACCGTAAGAGTAATCGGGTACTTGGAATTTTGTTTTGGTGCTTGTTGGGGGAGGCGCATGGTTGCCAAGTTGAGTACTTGGACCACATGCCAGGCGCTCATGCAGAATGACCAGTACCACAATACGATGCGATGCGGTAAAATCTGGCTAGAACACTCTGAGGCTACAGCATCTCAAAACTGCAGTACTTATTACAGCAATAGTATCAATACTTGTACTTATTGCAGATGTTGTTGATGGAGGAAATCCCGTACCAATTGATTCAATGCCAAGTACAGTGGCCAAGGGACCCTAGGTGGCGTCACCAAGTTTTTGACTCCACTTCAAGGAGCCCGAGGTCTTGAGTTCGAGTGATATTATCACAGCAAAGCAACGGAGACGTGATGTCAGCTCCGGAATGTTAGAACTAGTTGCAGTCGACTGTCTTTCACAGGACAGATTTCCGCAATCCACAACTTTTTAGTCAAGCCAACAAGGCGTGAGTGTTGATTCATGTTGCTACATACGCTAGGTTCTGGTCGGTGCAGGGAATTTATGGAGTTTTTAAAGCTATCTCCCAGAATCCCTAGTCTCAGTAGGGACTGCCAATTTCCCAAAGTCCCCCTTCGCTACACGCAGGCAAAGAAGTCCCTGCAATTGAAGAAACACTTTATTAACCACTTTTCACTATCCATGTTCTTCTCCATTTTTGGGCCAATAGTCTCCATGCAGCTTTATAACTTTAGAGTTTAGGTGGACCCCCCCCCCGTAATAGTGACTATAAGGAATAGTAAGGATTATATTAGGGTCCTATTATATTCCTATTATACCACTATTACAGGGTGGGGAGTCCTCCTAATCTATAGTACCCATGGGCATGAGAACCTATCAGCCGCAGGGTGTTCACGAGAGCCCAAGGAGCGAAAGCTTCGCTTTATCGAAGAGGAGCTGCAACAAATTCCAGGTGGGAGGCTCATGCCAAAATGTATGGACATACGTACGTACGTATGTAGGTATGTGTGTATGCATGTATGTATGTATTTATTCAGGGTTTAGGGGTCTAGGGTCGAGGGTATGGGCCCAGATTAGCCGCTCTTGTCTAGTCCCACCATGCGATGTTGAACCTCGCAGCACCCCACTCCTGTGTCTTGATGCGGCACGAGGAGACGCGTTATGCAGCTTTTGAAAGGCTCACAGCCAGCAAACGCCAACGATTGTAAGTGGCTCCACAATCCAAGTACACTAGTATGACAGTGTAAACTATAATCCCTATATCTTGTAGTTTACATGTCATTTCCCCTTTGATTCTCCATTATAGTAGTTTTCATTTGATGTCCTATATAACCTTGTGTGCACGCCGCCAGAATCTCCTAGGAAGCTGTTTTTTTGCCAAGTTTGCAGGCGTGCAGATGAGGAAAACAGGTTGCGATTCCTTTCTGGAGCATGCCCACGAGTACAAGCTGGAACATGTGGAGTTGAACATCTCCCATGTTTTCAAATCCTTCGTGGACCTGAAGCTGGGTTTGTTAAGGAAAGTAAATTAAGTTACCATAATGGGTATATATACAGATAGAGTAATTAGTTTAATGAGATTTCCTCTATGGCAACTTGCCTTAAGTTCCTCTTTTTGCAACCCAGGAAAGAAAGCAGCAACTCATCTGCAAGAGAATTCAGGATTTCAGGCCCTGTCTTTTCTCTCATATATAACCCCTTCCCCTGAAATTAAATCCCTCTCCCCCCCCCCCCCGAAAGATTAAGTATCACCATTGGTATCCTGCAATCTAGAGAGAACATTTGATATTAGGGGGGACTGGGGTGTGGGGGAGGGGGTTCGTATTGTAAAATGGGATGACGCATGACTTCTCAGGCATTAAGGCTAGCCTTGCACTGCCCCTTTTCACATTTAGAGTTTAGGGCATAAGGGTTTAGCGCTTCTCACTGCGCAATCTATGAGATTTAGGGTCCAGGTTGAAAGGTTTAGGGTGCTTTGATGGACCTTGAGTTGAAGTTAAGTAATACCTCCCATCTCCCCTTATCATGGTACCGTGAGGGCCTGATGCAAAAAAAATCAGGGTGTAGGGGTCTAGGGTCCCTAAACCCTAGAGGGAGAGCCCTGGAACCTGCCTTACTTTGGCTGCACGCACAGAAGAAAGACTGAGTCCCCACGTTGCCTTGAAGATATGTTAGGCTTTGGATTTATAGGGAGCAGCTGTTTAGGGTTTGTTTTTTGGATTCAATAGTTTGGCAGTTGCACGTCTTTCTAGAGTTTGCAAGCCTTTTGTACCTAGCGTGTAGTATGCCCTGAAAGACTATCATGTCAGGCCTGCACTCTAGCCCAAGACCTTATTCTGATTTCGTAGGCCCCCCTACATGAATTCATTGCGGCCCAGGCGCAGAATTGATGCGGCGACGAACCAAAGCGCTGGAAGAAAGCCACGTGCTTCGCGTGGTTGCTCGGAATTCAGGAGGGCAGGGAGCCCAATACCCCTTAGGTTTTTGAGTTACCTGGCTGTGAAAACTGTCGTGCAGTCATGTACCTAGGCATCCCTCACTTTTACAAACAAGGCCCGCCAGAAGGTTCCCCGAAAATGCATGCGCTGCGTCTAAATGGAGCGACCCAAAGAGAGACACCTCTTCCCGGGAAACCTTACCCGTTCTTAGTAGGGAATCAGGGAATACAACGTCTATAGAAACTAGGAACCAGTAAGAAGCTCATGCATGGCTTCGGCCTTTAGGCTCAGATCACAAGCCGGGAAAGCAAAGGGCATTTCCATCATCAGCCATGTTGTGTTTCGCGCTAGCCATGGCGCACTTCCTGAATGATACAGAAGACCAGCTTGAAGATTGGGAAGAGGGGGCATTCGTAGCTCCGCTTATGGTGGTTGCTCACCTTTATGGCATGCGGCGAGCAACGAAGCCGCTGTTGCTTCTAGGTTGGATGATCAAGCTTTACTACCATCCTCCACCTTACCATGCAAACCATTCAGTGATTTGGCTCATCTATGCGCCCCTGGCGTTGCTGGGAGCTGGCGAAACGCTACTTACCCTTGCAGGCATTGCCTACTTTGCTGCAGGATTCCACAAGCTCAACAGTGATTTCCTTCATCCCGTGGACGGCTGTGGTGCTGAATTCATCTCCAGGCTTCTGCGGGAGATGAGTGGCCTAGGAAACCACAATGCTGGAAAGGACGAGGATCTAGAGGTCCCGCTTGCAGCCAAACTCCTCCCGAAAGAAGTTATTGTTTACGGCGGCATTGGTGTGCTGGTCTTGGAATTGGTTCCAGGCCTGATCATGCTACTGGGCTGCTGTTAAGGCTTAAATTAAGTTACCTTAATGGGTATACATAGATTTATTTATATAGTAATTAGTAATTAGGGTTTCCCCAATACAGTGACTTAGATTGAGTTCCTTAACAACAACCCAGGCTACTGTCCCGCAGCAGGGTTTGGCAAAGGCGTGCCGGCCTTTGTGTGTTTTTAGGGTTGCACTGCCCCACAGCTCCAATCCGTTTCTTCGACTTTGGCTCGGTTGCAGCTGCCGCGCTAATCTCTGCAGATCCGATAGAGGAGGCATGGTCACAGAAGTATTGGTCCATGTTTCAGATGAGCGATGCAGAGAAGCAGAAAGGCTGGTTCTCCTATCTGCGCCGGATCTTCTGGCTTTGGCTACTGGGCTGCTCAAAATAGATGGGTGGTTGTCAAAATTATGATCCCTTTTTGGGTACCCTGAATATTAGGGGCCGTATTATAATAGGGACCCAAAAAGGGACCATGATTTGGACAACCAACCAGATAGTATCTTTGAGTCTCTACGTATTGGCTTATCTTCCTTTTCAAGCAACCCGGAAGATGTGGGGCATGTTTGGCTATTGACACGTTACCGCGCAGCTTACTTGGAGGGTCATGGGGACTTATTAAGTAGTTTAACAAAGGGGGATATTAATTAGTTGGTTTTCATATGGCTTTTAGGGCTTATCAACCTACTTACGAAATCCCCATGACCCTTAACCCCTAAGCCCTAGACCCTACCTACTTGCTAAGTCCCCATGACCCTCCAAGTAGGCTAGATGAAGACTCCGTTCGTGATGCCGATGATCCAGGGGGAGCTTCGCAGCGCCAAACTCGAATCTTGAAGTACCTCCGCCCTTGTTGAAGCTTGTGTTATGTTATATAGGGATAATGGAGAAGAAATTGGAGACTACTATTTAGGGCTTAGGGTTTAGGGGCTACATGATCTATAGTCTAAACGCCTTAAAGGGGGCTATATAGGGGATAATATAGGGGACCACTGTAGGGGTTGTTAAGGGGGAATACTAGCAGTTTAGACTATGGCCTGATGAAAGCAGATGACCTTGCCTGTAGAACTCTTGGCCCTAGTAGACGTGACCCAGGTATGCTTTGCCGAACATGTTTCTGGCAGTTCTGCCTGATACTGGGCTGCTGTTAAGGAACTTAATTTGAGTGAGTACATTTGGGGAAACCCTATTTTTTACCATATACCCATATCAACTTAAACCCCAGACCCTAAACCCCAAACCTTAAACCCTAAACCTAGGATAAGTATTTGGCCATCCGTGGCTTGGCTTTCGTGTGCACAACCTTGGAATTCCTGCTGCCCATGTGGCGTCGGACAAAGGTGGACGAGACCCTGAAGCTGGGTTGCTGTTAAGGAACCAAATTTATGTTACCATAATGGGTATATATGGGGTATATGGGGGTATGCAGGGTTTAAGGCTTAGGGCTTTGGTTTCCATAATGGGCATACATATGTATATATGGTAAATAATAGGGTTTCCCCACTATAGTAAGTTAGTTTAAGTTCGTTAACAGCAACCCAGGAAGCCACCTAAGCGATGGCGTATGTTCATCACAATGAGCGTCGTGACGCTCTATGCCGCAGCACCTTATTTGGGCTTGTGTACTGCAGGCCCCTAACTTTCGGAAACACTAAACCCTTCATTATCCTACATGCCCCCAATATACTCCTTATTAAAGCAGGCTCCTTCACAATGTTCAGCAACATCCGCCTTGATCCGGATGGCTCCACAAATCACTGGATCATACGCCAAGCGATACCAGGGCATCAGGCTGATGTTGTGACTTGGTGCGGATGTGAAGCAGTTAGACGGCTTAGAATATTTATGAGGACAGTTGAATGAAGACTTAGTCAAACTCATACATTCCTAAGCTTTGAAACCCTTACAGAATCTTCAAACGGTACCAACCGCAGCGCAGGTGAAGGTGTTCTACTCTGAGCCAAGGGACGAGTTGAAGCACTACCGCAATGCGGGCAGAAAGTGGGTGTACAGTCGCTTCCATCTTGAGGTGGTCAATTCTGAAGCTAGGGGTCCTCCATGGACCCCCGACATAATCCCCTACCCCTTCTAGCAATCCTTACCCCGCAAAAAAAATCCCCCCTGCCCCCTGTAATGCACATACGCCAACCTGTACTTTATTTTCATGCGGCATCCACATGGTACTTTACATTAGGGGAGGGGATTTGTCCTAGGACCCGAACGTTGGGGGAGGGCGGACATAATGGGAGCATGTTAAAATTTGCATAAAATCCCAACAAACCATTCAACATCAATTTGTATATTCGAATAGAATAGAAATCCACTTCTAATAAAACCCGATTAAGTCTCAAAACATTTGGTTGGATCCAAGTAAAGTATTAGCAGAATCAACTAAATCTGTTTGATAACATCGATCAGGTGTAATGAAAATCGTAATGAAAACAATTAACCTCTGATTGAACCTGATGCAAATAGAACTGACCTCTAGATGAGGCTTATGTAAAAACAATTTGACTTTAAAACCGTAATCAAACCCAATGTAAAACAATTGAGGTCTTATTCGAATGCAGTTAGCATCAATTGAAATCTACTTATATGAGCTAAATACAACCTAACTACGATTTTATAATCGTAGCAGATCTAGTCAAAACAACATTCACCTTTTAGATAAAATCCGTTTATACACACCATACGAGAACAATCAAACCTCGGAAGTCAAGGAGATCCCTGATCCTTGCGAGTCATGCCAGGGACGCCATTCAAGGATCCGAGCCGTAATCAACTTCTGTCTTGGCTCTTTAAAAGTAGTCTTGGGGGCAGAATTCAGATTTTGGAATTCTGGGTAACCCGCATTAAAAATCAGTGGGCTTCACATTACAATTGGGGGAAGGGATTGAGATGCCCCACCCCTCTAATAACCAACCTCAAAGGGACCCACAAGGAAACCCCCAGGGGACCCACAACGAAACCCCCAGGTGGCAGCCAAGCGTTGTGAGAGGGATGGCGGCGGCAATGCCGAAATTTGGGCCAGGGAGCCTACATCTCTTTCACCCCTCAGCTTCGAGGGTGGCCGCGAGGTTCCCTGGGTGCTTTAGGGTTTTAGGGTTTAGGGTTTAGGGTTTAGGGCCGTGAAGACCGAGAAAGCTCACTCCAAAGAATAAGATCTAAAAGGTATATATCGGGGTTATATTGGGGTAATGGAAAAGAAAATGGAAACTACTATAATCTATTGAGCATGCTGCCTGGCCCACCACTGTAGCTTCCCCAAATCTGTTTGCGACAGGTTTTTGTGCATCTCGTGGTGCAGATTATGTGATAGACTCCTTGCTAGCTGCCCCGATCTCTACCTGGCCTCGAAAAGTACGTAGAAGAACCAGTACTGGATACTTGCTATAGGTCTTTGGCTAGTACGCTGCCTAAATTTGGAGGCTCCAGGTAGATTCTAAACCCGAGCCAGGTAAGCTATAGTCTAAACTCCTTGAAGGAGTTTATATAGGGGATTATTCTAGGGGTTATTAAGGCGGATACTAGGTGTTTCGACGATTCGCTCAGGTGAAGATAGAACCGGCGCCGCTTTGGAAGACATGGCTCCCGCTGCAATTCCGAGGTGGTGGGTGGGAGCCAGCATGTAACTGGTGAGGCTGGGGCGTCGACCAAAATTGTGTACCCTGATAGTTTCCAATGTCCGAACTTAGATCTGGGTTCGGTCCATCTGCTGCCTGATAGAGCCCCATAATCAATGATTATCCGCAATTGGAGTTTGGAGCAAGCTACTGGGCACTGGTAGACCCATTCTCTGCGACATGCCCAGGTGGATTCGAGTCCAAGAAGATTCATTTGCCATGTGCGCGTGAGGGATTATTAGCAACAAGGAGCCCCCTGCAAGGGTGACCACAAAATGTATGTTTGTCAATATTTATTATTTAAAGGTCCTACAGAGTTCTACTGCCAAGTTTATATTCATTGGGGGATCACCTAAATTATCAGCCAGAATGAGGAAGAGCGCAGCACGCAGATTGAATTCACCAATCAGAGGGCAGATGCAGCCACGGTGCAGGCCCTCCACAAGAGATGATGGTGATTTCTAACAAGGTGCTGCTGCATCCTTCTTCGGATGAAGAAAAAATGGTGTCCAAGATCTCGGTAGTTGGAAGATGTGACAAGGTATATCCGATAAGGTCGTGTCTTCTAGAAACTTTGCTACGGAATCTTTGTTACCCATAACATACGCGTGTCGTAATATGCCTACCTAGTCCAAGCGGGCAATTGAGCAAACCCCGTGTGGGAGTTGGATGCTCTTTCGGAGGGTTC